GCTCTCTGCAGGGAGGAACCCGAGGACAGGGACGGGGAGAGCTGTGTGCACCTGCTCTCTGCAGGGAGGGACCCCAGGATGAGGATGGGGAGAGCTGTGTGCACCTGCTCTCTGCAGGGAGGAACCCGAGGACAGGGATGGGGAGTGCTGTGTGCACCCGCTCTCTGCAGGGAGGAACCCGAGGACAGGGACGGGGAGAGCTGTGTGCACCTGCTCTCTGCAGGGAGGAACCCGAGGACAGGGATGGGGAGTTCTGTGTGCACCTGCTCTCTGCAGGGAGGAACCCCGAGGACAGGGACGGGGAGTGCTGTGTGCACCTGCTCTCTGCAGGGAGGGACCCAAGGACAGGGAGTTCTGTGTGCACCTGCTCTCTGCAGGGAGGAACCCCGAGGAGACACAGGCAGCCAGGGAGAAGTCGAGCAGGGGTGGGAGCAGGAGGTGTGGTCCCACTCCACGGCTAGGGTTGTGGAGACCTGCAGGTCACATGGTCCCACGGGTGCTGTGAGAAAGCCACACAGGCCACCTCCGAAAGTGCAGACGGACCCGATGAAATCCCACGGACAAGGACCAGGACTTCTGAGCGTGCTCCCGGGCTGAGCAGCGTTCAGGCGGCAGGGACTGGTTATTCCGAGGGTGCCAGCAGCTGCAAGAACATCTGGGCCTCGTCTGGCCTTGGTGGTCGTGGTGGTTTAGGATGGGTGGCTCGCGGAGAAGGACGTCGGGACCAGCCGATGAGCCGCCACTCGCGCGAGAATTTGAGAATCAAAAAGTAATGAGCGCGTGGTCGGACACACTGCGTGTGAAGATCCGCGCATTCTTTCTCATTTCATGTTTTTGAAGGTTTTGCTCTGGGGCATGTGTGCTCATTAGAGACAGAGAGGGAAACTGAGAAATCGCTCGCCAGGGGAAGGCCACAGCCCCATCCTCCACTCTCCTCGGGATTTTGGGCACGTGTGCACACATGCCCAGTGTGGCCGCCAAGCTGCCCTGTCTGGGATTCGGGACTGCAGCGTCGGTGACGTGGGATCCAGTGCCTTAACCTCCATGCCGCCTGCTGGCCCGAGATCCACACATGCTTAATAGTAATGAGAAATGAAAATACAAGTCAAGGGGCCAGCAGATAGCATAGTGGTTGTGTCACTGGACTCCCCTTTCAAGTCCCTGACCCGGCGGTCTGAAACTCATGTCAGGTATGTGTGCACGTGCACCCAAGATCCTGGGAGGAGGGTGGGGAAGGGACTGCGGCATGGCCGTCCCACCCGGGGGGGTGATTTCCCACTTTCCTTCTCACTGTCTCTGTCTCCACCACCACTCACAAGCACATATGCTCGGAGGCAAAAACCTCTACAAATAATCCAATCAAAAAGAGTTTTCTGGGACCAGCAGATGGTGCAATGGACTCCCATGTGGTCGACTACAGTTTGAGTCCCAGATCAGGTGGCTTAAAATTCATGCTGGGTGCATGTGCGTCCATGCCCAAAATCCTTAGGGGAGAATAGAGAAGGGATTGCCATGTGGTCGTCCCCCCAGGGTGCTTTCTCCTCCACCACCTAGTGCACACACCCTACAGCAAATAAAACAAAAACAAAGTTCTGGGAAGATCCTAGAATAAAGGAAATTCCCTTAATAAAGCAGGGGCCAGGGGTCAGTAGATGGTGCAGTGGCTAAGGCACGGGACTCTCACACGGCCGACTGGTTCGAGTCCTGGACCCGGCAGCATGGACGTCATGTCAGGCGGGTGTGTGTGAATGGAGGAGGATCGCGAAGACATCTCTCCCTGGAGGGTGATTTCTCACTTCCCCACTCCAGCAAGTGCGCGCGCCCTACGGCAGAAGCTGTAAAGGTAAAGCAGGGCCGGCTGGCGCAGCTCCTTCTGCTGTCCCATTGCCTATAATTCTGGTGAGGGTGGAGCCTTCTCAGCCGTTTGGACCACGAGGTGCCCTGAGGGACGGAAGCTCACACCGGAAGAAGGGGTTGCCGGAGCGTCTCCGACTGTGGGCTGAGACACGGGCCTCGTAAGTCGGGAATGGCGCCTCACGTACCTGGACCCCCGCCCTGAGCGCAAACGCTAACTGGTGCGAGGCCAAGTGACGTTTGCTTTTTCTTACGCTTTGCCATGCCCCGCCTGCTTCGAGCTCGCCTTTCTAGACTCTTCGCTCGCGTCATTTCGCTCTGGGATGGCAGCTGCAGAACTGCTCCCCACGACCTTAGTGACACCGAGGGCTGTGCCGTCGCCCGCTCTCCCGAGAGGGGACATGGTTACGAGTGCAGAAAGGACCCGGGTTCCAGGACCGAACGCCACTTCCATGATAGAGACGAACGGAAGTGAATTCGGGGGCGTTCATTAAACTGTACCGGGAACAGCGGGCCTGGTCACAGCCCTAATGGAGCGGAGCCCCTTCTAACAGAAACGAGCAGGGACCACCACACCCATGGCGTGGTGACCAGAGTGCTCCCTCTGGGTGCTCCAGGACGGTCTTGAATGCCTGCCTCGTGGAACAGAGGAAGGAGGGCCACCCCTGCCTCTCGAGACTCGTGGTCACCTCGGTGCAGGGACCGGAGCAGCTAATCCGCTCAGACGTGCGTGGTGAGTAGGGCGCTAGCTAGTTGCACATCAGAGCCCGTTCTGTGGTCACAGGTGCCCTTCCTGGCTGAGGTGGGCTGATGTCAGGAAGGCAAGGACGGTTTAACCTCAAGAGGAGCTAGTGAGGTCACGTGAGTAGACTCAGCGGGACCTCTGGAGGTCAGGGAGAGGATGGGGTTCTTGTGAAGGCTGATCTGCCCACGGTGAGGGGCCAGCACCCTCTGCCATGGGCATTACGGGGAGCAGACATTACATCATCTCTGCCCCGTGTGCATTAGGCGGCAGAACGTGGGGTACCTGGAGGGTGTGGGGAGAGCACCCACCTTCACCACGGTGACCATTCCCTCGTTGGTGACGGGGTCTGTGCGGACGCTGAAGTGCCCGGAGGGGTCTCCGCTGATGATGCGGTAGACGGCATTCCAGTTTGGCGAGTGGGGCTGGTCTCGGTCCGCCACAGTGAGGTTTGCAACCACCGTCTCCACCCGGTTTTCAGGGACCTCCCCGGAGAACTGGAATGTCAGAAGGGAATTTGTGCACCCATGGAGAGTCTGGGGCAGTGCCACACCTCTGCCCGAGTGCCCTCCCCACGGTGACCATGTCATGATGACGGATGGGCATTGAGGGCCTCTGGCCCCTGTAGCCGAGGCCCAGCCAGCGCCGAGGCTCACGTCTGCTCACACCCACCTCCAAACCAAGCCTTGCCCATGTATACACGCGCGCGTGCACGCCAGGCCTCCCTCCCGAGTCTGCTCCCAGCTCTTCTCGTGCACAGAAGACCAGACCACAGCTGGGACCTGCTTGGTAGACGGGGAACTGAAAACACGGAGCGGCGCTGCCACAGCTTCCTGGGGTGCCGTCCTGGGCTCCCACCATCCCTCTGGTTGCCCCATTTCACAGATGAAGTTAACACCCCTTGGGGCGCCAGGGAGGCAGGGCCCCCGAAGGTCTGGCCCAGAGGTCCCAGCCCCACGCATTCAATTGGCACCTCCAGGAGGGCCCGGCCCAGTCCCCACAGCCTGGTCGCAGGGGTGTGCAGGTGCCCGGTAACACCCCAGGCGTGGCCCCTCGACCTCGCCTCCCTCACAGCTTCCTTCCCCAGCCTGGCCCACACCACCCACCCTGCCTCCCGCCCTGAGGGCCGCTTTTTCTCCGGGGCCTTTCCCAGGCCTCTGTACCCAGGAGGGCTGCTCTCCCAGCAGGCACATTCAGGTCGGGGAACGGGGCCAGTGCCGCTTCGTAGAGGGCAAGTCCCCCGGGAGCTCACAGCGGCCCAGCCTCTGCCCGCTGCAGCCCGACCCCGGCATGTCTCACTCCTGAAGGAGACAGGAAAACCGGAGTCCGAGCCCACCAGGCGGGAGGCTGTTCCCGGGGGAGAGGACTGCACGAACCCCGGACAGGCGAGTAGCCCTCTGTACTCCAAGGCTCCACAGTCCTTTGGCCACCCCACTGGACAGGCGCAGTGCTCAGCCTGAGACCCACAGGGGCCCGGCTCGGGGCCTGATTAAAGGGCTCCACCCACCACCGCACGCGCCGAGTTCAGACCAGACACGACCACCTTGTGAGGAAGGAGAACTGGGTCTGTCCCAGGGGTCCCGTCCGGCGTGGCCGTGCGGCCTGTGGGCCACAGCCCAGAGGACGGCAGTGTGGGAGCAGGGGTCGCACCTCGCAGTCGTGGGCTGGGTTTGCTGAAGCCGAGAGCTGAGGTGCCCTCTCTGCTGCGCGTTTGCTCTCTGGCCTGCCAGAGGCAGGGTCAGCCCCCGGGGCCCCACCAGCAGTTCAGAACCGTACGCGGCCTCGGTCAGGGGCTAGTCTGTGTCCCTGCTCCGACCTGGGCATGTGACCACGAGAGGCGTGCTCGGACCCTGGATTCAGCCATGCCTGAAGTCAGTGTCTGAGTCACCTGCGACAGCGTTCGCTGTTCCTGCTCGGCTCCCTCCGTGTTTGCGGGGGACACGCTTCGCCGCCTCCTCCCCAGTCGTGAGGTCAGGTGACCTAGGCCTGCAGTCAGGGCAGGCTCTGGCTGTACAGAGGAGCTTGGTGGCCGCTCCCTTGAGCCGTGACCGGCCTGCCCGCAGGAGGAGCCGCCGAGGTAAGTGAAGGGCATAGCAGGAGCCTCTGCCACTGTCCCTGGCCCAGTCCCCGAGTGTCCCG